AGCGCAACGCTTGGAGAATCCCTTTTTTCTGCAACCCAATTGTCCACCGCATTACGCTTGTAAATCGTGCACAAGCTCTCGCTTAATGGTGTCTCGATATAAGAAATCGATAACTCTCGGTTGGAAATGTTTCTTTGAAAAAATTAATTTTCAAAGATACAACTGGATCATGCGGGCAATCGTGTGATAATAAATTGCGATAAATTGCATTCGATCGATTTTCGTTTCGAGGGAAACGGAATTTTTTCGAGTCAAGTTTTCCACTCGAGGCGATGTCGAGGTGTCGCGGTCGCGTCGCTTCGGTTTTATCGGTTATTCCATGATTCATAGGAACGCATTATCTCCTCCGTCGATGTTTTTTTTTTTTTTTCCTTTTTTTCTTCCTTTTCCATCGGTGGTATCCCCCTTTCTCGAAATGGGAAATGATTTATTATACGCGCGGAGGACACCACCGTGTAAACCGGTAAATATATGCGCGCATACTTTACATACGTAATATGGATGAGATACTGTCAACGCCGTCAACTAACAAGTTTACCTCGGCTCCGGTTCGGCTATCGTTTGTTTCCCGCGCGAGTGATGTGTCGCGCGGAAAAAAAAAGAAAAAAAAAAAGAAAAAAATAACCGATAAAAAAATAAGCGGGATAACAATGAATCTATAATAACCGAAATGTCCATTTTTCACGCGTTGACGATAACGAGGAGAGCTGAGGGGAGGGGAGAGGGAAAGGAGGAAACACGAGCAAAACAATAAATATTCGTGGAAAATTAGATCATCGAATCGAGAGAATCGTTTTGAAAGAAAAATGGAGAGAGACGAGGAGACAAGGAGAGAGAGAGAGGGATAAAAATAGAAATTTGAAAAATTTTGGAATCTTTCTTTTCCCTCGGAATTTTTACAATTTTCTAAACTAATCGATTTATTCCAATCTTTTCTGATAATGACAAAAAGAGAATTAAAAATTTTCTTAAAAATTCCCTTTTCGACCGAAATTCCGATTCCAAATTTTTCCAATGGTTAAGTATATAGTATGAGTAATGATGATCAAGTAATGTAATAATCTCTCTATCAATCTCGAGAGAAAATTGTAAATTACGAAACATTTATTTATTGATTCACTTTACTTCACGATTGTATCTTGATCTTGTCTCTACTTGATCAAATATAAACATAAAGCATCGTACTGTGCCCGAATACGTTCAAATTATCGTACAGGCTATATACAATTATCGATAGAATGATCATCAAGGAATATAATAATGTTGTCACACTTAATAGAACGTTTTTTTCGTTGAATTCGTGCGCTTATTTTTTTTTTTTTTTTTTCTTTTTTTTCTTTTTTATATTTTCTTCTCTCGCTTAAAACTGCCGCTAAATTACACGCTAGATTGCCCCGCTCAGTTCCGTCCAAACGTTTTCACGGGCAAACGTTTCATTTCGCATCTTCGACAAATAACCTGAATCGTTCGTCCCCGCTCCTCTTTCTCGAAAATTAAATCGATCAAATCATCAGATTAATTTTCTCCATCAATCTCTCAAAATATTATATTATTATCACAAATCATTTATTATTTTCAAAAAAAAAAAAAAATAATTGTGCAATACTTCGAGTGGTCTCCTCCTTCGTAATTGGCTCGTAACAATAAAGAAGAAATCGAAGAAATATTTCGTTTCGGAAAAAACGATGACCCAGGTTGCTCATCGATGCTCTTTTTTTTTTTTTTTTTTTTTTTTAATTAACCTCTACGAATCCTATATTTAAACCGATAAAACATCGTTTTGGTATATCGTCACAGCGACTCTGTGCATGTTTGAAATCTCCCCATGTTCGATTAGTACTTAACTTCCCCATCGAATGAATGAACACCTTTCGCGCCTTTAACGCGTCCTCTCTTTCCTCCTCCTTTTTTTCTCCCTTTAATCTATAATCCTCGTCATTGGTCGATTCTCTATCATCACTTCTCACGATAAAAATAGACGATATTTACGCCATCGCTTATTTACAATAACTGTGAGCCCTGTGTGGAAAAAATTCTGACTCTGTCCGCCCGCCCGTCCGTCCGTTCGTCTGTCCGCGCGTCGCGCGCAATGTCTGACGAGCGCAGGAAGTTTCCACTTTGCGCCGGGACAACGAACCTAAGTTGGCCAAATCTCGTCGGTGAAACTAACGATGATTGGACAAATTAAAGAGGAACCCTCCAGACGTTTGATTATATAATTTTTTTTTTTTTTTTTTAGGGGAGGGGGGACGAGATATTAGAAGAGTATCTTTTTCCCCCTTCCCCCTTTTTGGAAAGATATATTACGAAAAAGAAACTTTGGTTTTTTTTTCTTTTTTTTCTTTGCTTCTCTCTGCGTAAATTGAAATCACACGATCGAATATAAATCTTCTAATTTCTCGGGGAGAAGTTTCGTCCCGAGAAATTAAAATATTTTAAAGTTTATTTATTTTTCCCTTTTTCTCCTCCCTTCCCCCTGTTTCTTCCTCGCGCGTCTCGGAACTCGGGCATTACGTTTTTTTGCGTATCCTTCACGAACGAACGAAAACATCGTAAAATTGCGTTTAAAATTGTGGCTCCCTATCGAAATTACTTAAGACGCTAAAAACCTTGCACACTTACGAAATACGATGCACTTAAATCACATAGCGATAAGACGACTTTCTTTACACGGCTATATACATGCGCACGTTACGTGTGTGTGTGTCTATGTGTGTATGTGTATGCGTGTGTATATACATGTACACCTTCGCGACTCGACTTCGAACCGAAACACGGACAGTTTTCTCTTCGGAAACATCATCTTCCACCACCATTTCTCGAGCAAAAAGAAAAAGAAAGGAGCGAACAAATTTTCCAATAATACATCTTTCGATCCGTCACACGTTTCCACACTTTTTCAACCCTCGTCCTTCCACCCTTCTAAATTTTCTTCACACCCCGTTTCCTCACACTTGACGAGAACGTCGCTCAACGCTTCCTCGACGCATCTTGCACGCGCATTTGCCGCACTCCTCGAACACTCTCGAGGAGGCTCGAGACGAGATGATTGGATGCGACGACGACGTCAGACTCGCGCCAACCAGCCGGAGGGGAAAAAAAGCGATCGTTTGTTTCGTACCGGATGACAATGACTCAGCCATCCCCCTCCCCTTCGTGATATAGATCCAGAGATCCGGATTCACACATTTTTCCCCCCCTTTTACGAAGGGGGAATTCGAACGTTATCGCTGTTGAATTGAAAGAAGAAGAAGAAGAAGAAGAAAACGATCATAAAATATCAATTCAACCTCTTCAATCTCTCGTACACCGATCATCGCCAACCGGCCGCAACTAACTGCAACGAAGGCG